GGGTTCCCTTGTATATAACTTGTTTCTTTTCTCTCGCTGCTTTTTAAAATTCTTTCTTTGACTTTTGACAATTTAGCCATAATGTCTAGTGTAGCCCTCTTTGGTTTCAACCGATTGGGATTCCTTGGGTCTCATGAATCTGGAAGCCCACTTCTCTCCCAATTTTGGGAATGTTTTTGGTCATTATTGCTTTAAATAGACTTCCCCGTTTTTTTCCCCCTCTCATCTTTTGAGATTCCCATAATGAGTATATTTTTTCTTTTTTGGAGTTCTCAATTCCCACAGGTTTTCTTCACTCTTTCCTTCTTTTTTTCTTTTTGTTCAACTGACTAAATAATTTCAAGTGATTTATCTTCTAGTTCATTGATTCTTTCCTCTGTTTGTCTGAGTCTTGTTGAAGCTGTCTACTGAATTCTTCAGTGCAGTCATTTTATTCTTTAGCTTTAGAATCTCTGTTTGGGTTTGGTTTTGGTTTGGTTTTTTGATGGTTTCTATTTCTTTCTTGACGTCTTAATTTTGTTCATGCATTGTTCTAACATTGTTTAGTTGTCTCTGTGTTCTTGCAGTTTGCTGAACTTCTTTAAGAGGATTATTCTGAATTTTTGTCAAACAATTCATACATCTCCATATTTTTAGGGTAGTTATTGGAGCTTTATTTTTTTCTTTGAATAGTATCATATTTTTCTGATTTTTCATGATCCTTGCTTATTTGTATTGGTATCTGTGCATTTCAGTAAATGGTCTCCTTCTCCGGGCTTTACAGGTTTGCTTTGGTACGGAAAGACCTTTGCCAGCTGGCTGGTAGCATTTGTGGGAAGGTGGGGCTCACTATCATCATCTCTGGGCAAAGCCTCTCCATGTGCTCTGAGTTTGTAGAGGGGTGCTGCTGCCTAGGTTCTGCTGGTCGGGTTCTGTATTCAAGCAGGACTGCTGGGTGGGCTTGCTGTTTAGGTGGGGCTTTCTGGCAATGTCAGAGCTAGTGACTCAACTCTCATTGCCAGGTTGAATCACTAGCTCTGCAATCAACTCTTGGCTAATAAGGTTGTAGGCTTTGTTCCCCGACAGCGTGGTGCCCCTGGTTGGATCCATGATTGGGTAGCTATGAGAGGGACTCTACAGTCCCTTCTGGTTAGGTGGTCTCATGCTGTGCTTCCCAGTTGGATGGTGCTGCTGGCTGGGCTCCATGTTCAGGTGGGGCTTCCAGCTTTGCCCTGAAGATGAATGGGACTATCGGCCAGGCTCTGTGACTTGGTAGCACTGAGGGCTGGGCTGCAAGGCTACTCAAGGTCATTTCTCAGGCTCCCTGGTTATGTGAGGGTAGGAAATATGCTCAACATTTGAGCAGGGCTGCTGGCCGGGCTCTCTGCCCAAGCAGAGCTGAAGGTTGGGCTGCTCAGCTAGCTGGGTTCTCTTGTCAGGCTTCTTCAGTGGATGGGATTTGAGACTATGCCGAGCAGTTGGGTAGGGCTGTGGATTTGCTTTCCTGCAAGGTAAAGCGTTAGTATGGCCCATTGACTAGGGACTCAAATCAGGCAGAGTGCTAACCAAGCTCTCTGGCCAGATGGGGTCACCAGCCTGGCTTTGTAGATGGGTATTCCTGCCAGTTGGAGTCTTTGCTTGGATACTGGCACAGGCAGGAACTTGGTCTGCCAAGGTTTGAGTGCTGGTTAATGTAAGCCTTGACCACTACTTCTCCATTTCTATTTGATTCCTAAATTATCCCCAGGAGGCAAGACCTAAATAGATCTTCCAGAAAGTGCGACACTGGAAGAGTTGGATGTCCACCTTTACTTTCTTTTCTCACTGGAGAAACTGTAGTAGACCCAAGGGGGCACTCCTGGTGCAGTTCTATGTCAGCCTACAGAAGGAGTGATGTGGTCCAAGTGTGGCTGCTCTTCTTACCTTTCTAATGTGGTTCTTCTCAGTCTCTGTGGTTCAGAGGGAGTGCTTCAGCTTCACATCTGGGTGCTAGGATTTTCACAGTGGTGACATAGCTATGGATAGTTGCTGGCTGGTCTTCTTAGGAGGTGGACTGAAGTTGGCAATGACCTATCTCACCATCTTGATGATGTACTTCATCTGGTATGGCATACGTTGACTTCAGTGTGCAACCAAACAACTATGTGTGGTTTGCTCACTTAAATTGTAGTAGCTGGGAGCTTGTAGTTCTCACTGAGCAGAGATTGGAAACTAATTGCTCATTTATAAAAGTCAAGAATAAGATAATTTCCTCAAAGTTTTAAGTTTATGCAAAAGGAGTATTTCTTGGATTAGGAAGCATGGGTTTGTATCAAAGGCTGTTGACCCTTCTGATTGCTCAAGAAGTCTATCTCTAGCTGGTATCTTCAGTGTAAGTGAAATGAATTACTCTTAACATCTTTATAACATGTAGTGTCAAGGACGTCTGGGGAGAAAAATTATGACCTGGGCTTAGTTGAGCCTTGAGATGATACTGAACACATTTTTTTTTCAGGCAGCAGGAAAGGATTTGATGCCATGAAGGAAGAGACGAGTCACTTTTAATGGGGAAAGAGAACTTGAGTAAAATGATTCTGGGCATTGGAACCAAATGGAAAGAAAAGGCCAAATGTTCCCTGTGGTTTGAGCTTTTATCAATAGTACAAAACTACTTGATAACCTCTTATTAAGTGTAAGAAGGGAGACCAGCATTTTCTGATGACTTATTTTCTGGCAAGCTCTTTGCTGATACTTTGCTATATGTTAAAGAATTTTATTTCCATAAGTAAGATGTGAGGTGGGTGGTAGCTACCTCATTTTAGGAATGATGGAACTATTTGTTAGACAGATTCAGTCTCCATGTCTCCATAATTAAGTTAACAGCCCACTTAGGCACAGAAGTGACTAGTCTCTTGAACATGTTTAAAGAGGGGCACTGGAAAGCAATATGGCGGTTGGCAAACCTCATCTGTAAAGGGCAAGATATTAAATATTTTAGCAATTGCAGACCATATGGTGTCTGTTGAAACTGCCTAATTCTGCCATTGTAGCAGGAAAGCAGCCATCAATGATTTGTAAGTAAATGGGAGTGGCTGTTTCATGAAAACTTTATTTATAAAAACAGGAATCGGGTCATTGTTGGGTGACCCCTGTGTTAGAGGAACAAAACTTTAAGGGAGAAGATAAGGTTTATGTTTTATCAATAGGAAACAAGCATTCGAGGTTCACACTTGGCACATGCTAAGTGCTCAATAATTATTTAACAAGTTAGATCCATGAGCCTGTGTTTCTGCTGGCTTGAAAAAAATCTACATAGACTTTAATTGCATTATAAAGAAGGTATCAAAAAGTGTTCTTTCTAAACTAAGTTGCGCATTATATCTTGTCAGGAGAGCTTAGAGCCTTGGAAGTCTTTATCAGTTAGGGGCCTATGTGCGTGATGTAGGTGGGTTATGCTCAGTCCGGTTAGAGGACATAGGATTAAGGGCATTTTGAGATGTACTTTTAGGACATAAAGGCAGAGGTATGAGGGGACGATCAGTGAGTCATGATGGATTAATTGAATGTAGTGGTGTGGAAGAAAAGGTCAAGAATGGCCCCAAAATTTTTAACTAGAACGATCAAAAGAAGAATGGTATCATCATCAACAACAGGAATGCCCTAGCTGAGCTCTGGAGTCACAAGAAGACACTGTGATTGGACTTTTCACATTAATAAAGATAGAATCCACTCAGTCAAGTTCTTTATCCCTTCCTCTTTCCTTGACCTCTGATCCGTTTACTCTAGTCTTCCTCTTTTCCCTACAGTGTCAGATTATGCCTGAGTCAACAGAGAAAATTTCTGGTTGAGTCATTCAACCAAGTCAACAATATTTATTGGATATCCACTGTGGGCCAAGCATTGTTGGGGCCACTCTGCCCAAACTTGATTATTGCTTTGCTTATCTCTTTGCATAGTTAGATAATGAGTACAGCACTGGGGGGGGGGGGGGTTAAACACTCCAGAATAGCTCCTTCCTCTTGTGCTCTGATAAGTAACTGCCGTTTAGTTTGGTCATATCTAAAGCACAAGCCAAGACTGCTTTTATGCACCAAATTCCTCTGTGTGTGTGTGTGTGTGTGTGTGTGTGTGTGTGTGTGTGTGTTATTGCTTAAGAAAGAAGATTTTGGGCAAAGCTTTAGAAAACTGTGTGATGAGGTTCTAGCATTTAAAATGGAGATTCTGAAGCTCATCAGGCAAAGCAAGCATTAGGCCAGTGAAAATGCCTGCTACAGTATTATTTTCCTACCAATAGCTTATAACTCTCCAGAGCAGAAACAAACCTGAGCCTTTGGAGTTAGCAATAGTTTAAAGATGGCTTCTAAGAGGGTTCTGGAACATGAGGTTTGGGCATTCCATTATTTTTAATATTTGATGTAAGTTCCCTGCAACATGATAAGCAAACACAGCTCCTATTGATGAGGGATAGCATGTCTACCAGGGGGAAAATGGCATTTAATATGGACGTAGGGAAGAAGAACACTTTAGGGCAAGATTACAGGTACAGGGGTAATTCGAAGACAGGAAGTTGGGTGGATGAGGGAAAGTTTCAAGCTTAGTTTATGAGAAGAGGACAGAAATGGTACAAAGAGGGAGGGAGAGGGAGGAGGTAAAAACAGGGTGACTGTGAGGCTGGCATGGTGGTGGGAGGTCAGAATGGAGAGCTCTGTCACTGCACCACCGTCTGTGACATGCTCCTACTCATGACAGGCCCGAGGGTGAGGTGGATTCTGTGGCCACTGACTTCACCCCGAAGGTGGTCTCCACAAAGGGTACTTAGAGGTCTCAGGAAACACCACCCGCCTCCACAAAGTACAACCCAAATTCAACAGTTATCTGAAGCCACATATTCTTACATAAAGCAAAACTCTTTCTTTATTCTTTTAAATAATGTTAACTCTCACTATACCGCTGAAGCCTCTGTAGATGAAAATCCCTTAATCAAAGTATGACAGAGCTGCCCCCAAGCACAATGCCAAAAAGCTTGAAAGAAGAAGTGTTACCTGAAATCCCTTTCAAGTTGGCTTTGAGTGGATCAAAAAGATCGGTGATTCCCCAAGAATTTAAAATGGGTTTCAAATTGAAGTGATTTTCGATCCTGAATCTGAAAAACAGAAACAAACCATCAGCTTTCATCTAGAAATCTCATCCAAAATAATTTCATACACGCCCCACGACTGCCGAACTCCCTAACTTGTGAGTCAAGGAAGCCTCTTTTCCAGCTTTATCTTTCATTGCTCCTTCTCATAAACCCTGCCCGGGGACTAGTCTGACCACACAGGGCTCCCTCCCCCTTCCGTACCTGTGCTTTTGCGGTTCTTTCCACCCCATCTCCTTTGATTGCCTCTGAGTTGCCACCCTTGCCTCTAAGCTCAAGTCCATTGTTCTCCTCTCCTCTCCAGCTGTTTTGTGTCCTTCGGTTCCTAAAGCCCCATTAACACCTTGTTCTGCTCTTTTGACGTATGGAATAGTCTGCTTCTTGTTACTGTTATTTATGATTTCGCACACCCCTTGAGAAGATAGACCACCCCAGTCAATGTTTTATTTCCTGGTAGTAACCAACGAGTGCCTACCATGTGCTAGACACTACGACAAGCGTTTTATGTGGATTATCTAATTCCGTCTTCACATAACTATGTTATTATTATCCTCATTTTACAGATGAGAAAGCTGAAGCCTAAAGAAATTAAGACACTTGCCCAAGATGATGTAATGAGTACGTGGTGGAACTCAACTCAAAGCCAGGCTGTCTGAGCGCAGAGCCCGTGCTCTTGGCGTCTACGCTTTGCTACCTCCCACCTCGTGAGGCCTCTCACATAGTAGGTGCAGAAAAGAAGCTGTCGACTGACCGGCAAGGAGTAGAGCATCTCATGTAATATGTTCATATTTGATAAGACAGATTTTTGCGTTTGCTGTGTGCAGTGTGTGTCTTCGATGCACAGGAGGAAAGGAATGCAAGCTAAGGCTTTGGTTTTCCTAATAAGTCCGGAGAGGAGAAAGAATCAACACACCCACTTTGTAATATTTCTCCAAGGGCAAGGCCTCTAAGATTTTACTGTGAAGGATCCTTTAAAAGGATTGCTCATATTATTTTTCTTTGAAAATGAAAACGTTTGAAATGGACTTTATCTTTTTCTATAAACTACGCAAAACTTGCAGGAGAGTGAAAATACTGGACTAGACCATTTAATATCAAAGGTCTTCATTGCATACAAGACAATGTGACCAATATTTTAAACAGAAGTATCAGATGTTCTCATAAATATGTTTTGGGTCTTTAGAATAGTTTTCCAAGAAGGTACGGTCGCTTTCTCCAACTATGCTGACAGTCTCAAAAAATTTTTGTACCATCGCTTCTGAACTTTTCTTAAATACTTAAAACTCATCCATTTTGAAAACTCTTGGGGCTGAAACATATTAAGAGCACGAACTTGGGGGTCCAGTGCCAGGGTTTGAATCCTGGCTTAGCCTTTTACTAGCTGAAGGACCCGGGGCAAATTACTTTACCTCTCTTTGCCTCAGTTTCCTTATTTGTGAAATGAGCATAATAGTAGTGCTTAGTTATCAGCTTTGTGAGGATTAAGGGAAATAATTCTTAGAAGTGCTCAACAATGCCTAGCACAGCTCACGCACTTTATTGTTACCACTGTGGTTTTATTGTTTCTCAGGGATATTGAAAAAAAGTTCAGGGATGTTTGAAGCCAAATATAGTGATTATGGTAGGTGATAAAACTGAGTAATATCATTTTTTCGAAACTAAAGATAATAGTAAGAGTGAGGTATGACCATAAAAGGTGAGAGTGATTTTTTTGTTTCTTGTTATGGAAGTCCAGCTCAGAAGAAATGCCACAAAAATATCTTGAGTAAAAAAATTGCCCTTTACCAAAACCAGACAATGATATCATGAGAAAAGAAAACTGCAGACTAATTTCACTTATGAATGTAGATGCAAAATCCTCAACAAAACACTAGCAAATTGAATCTAGCAACATATAAATCCCACCGTGACCAAGTGGGATTTATCCCAGGGACGCAAGGTGGGTTCAACATATGAAAATCAATGTAAAACACCGATATCAGCAGGATAAAGGACAAAGGCCACATGATCGTCTCAATAAATGCAGAAAAGCATGTGAAAAAAAAATCTGGTATCTTTCATGAAAACAAAAATCACACTATAAACTTGTGATAGAAGGGAACTTTTTCAATCCAAAAGAGGGCCTCTACAGAAAACCCACAGCTGGCGTCAAACTTCTTTTTCATGAGAGACAGAGGGAGAAAGAGGCAGAGACACAGGCAGAGGGAGAAGCAGGCCCCATGCAGGGAGCCCGTTGTGGGACTCGATCCCAGGACTCTGGGATCACAGCCTGAGCCGAAGGCAGACGCTCAACCCCTGAGCCACCCAGGGGCCCCAGCTAGCATCACACTTAATGGTGAAGACTGAAAGCTTTCCTCCTAAGATCAGAAATAAGAGAAGGATGCCCACCACTTCCGTTTAACATTGTCCTGAAAAGTGTGGAGGGCAATCATACAAGAAAAAGAAATAAAAATGCACCCAGATTAGAAATGAAGAAGTAAACCTATCTCTACTCACAGACAACTTGGTTTACATATAGAAAATCTTAAAGAATACACGCACATACAGAGAAAAAATTCTTAGGATGAATAAATGAGTTCATCACGGTGGCAGGATATGAGATCAAGGTACAAAAATCAACTGTGTTTTTTATATTATCAACGAATCATCTGCAAATAAATCCCATTTTATAGCATCAAAAGGAATAAAATACTTAGAAATAATTTTAACAAAAGAAATGCAAAATTTGTACATTGAAGACTAAAACATATAATCAAAAGAAACTAAGGAAGACATAAGTAAAATGAAAAAAGTCCTGTGTTCACAGATTGGAACAATTAATATTGCTAGAAAGCAATATTCCCAAGTTGATGTACTGATTAAACACAATCATCATCATCAAAATCTCAGCTGCCTTTTTGGCAGAAACTGAGAAGCTGATACCAAAATTCGCAAGAAAATGTATGGGACCCAGAATGGCCAAAGCAATCTTGGAAAAAGAACAAATCTGAAGGGCTAACAGATCCCGATTTCTAAACATCATAGTAATTGAGACTGTGTTGTCCTGGCCGACGTGTAGACATTTTATGCCCAGAGAATCGAATTGAGAGTAAACCCTTTAAAATAAACTCATTCATTTACAGTCAATTAATTTCAACAAAGGTACCAAGAAAATTCAGTGAAAGAATGATCTTTTCAATTAAAATGGTGCTGGGACAACTGGATAATGACATGCAAAGAATGAAATTGAACCTCTACCTCATAACACATACAAAAATTAATTCGGAATAGAAGGGCCAAAACTATAAAATTCCTAGACACAGCATAGACACAGATCTTTGTGATCTTGGTTAAGCAACGGTTTCTTAGAAATGACATCAAAAGAAGCGCAAGAAATAAAAGAAAAAATAAGTTAACTGGACTTCATTAAAATTTAAAACTTTGGTGCTCCGAGGGACACCATCAAGAAAGTGAAAAGACGACCCACTAAATGGGAGAAAATATTCGCAAATCATAAATCTGATGAGGGACTAGCATCCAGTATATATAAAGCACTATTCCAACTCATCAATAAAAAGATTGTCAACCGACTTACAAGTGGAGAAAAGATTGAAATAGATATTCCTTCGATAAAGGTATGTGAATGGCCACAAAGTGCGTGAAAATATGCTTGACATCATTGGTCATTGGGATATGCAAGTGGAAGCACCATGGGAAGCGGCCTCGCGGCAATGAGGGTGGCCACGTAAGGAGATGGGTGGCCGGGCGCCCCGTCTTGCCTCCAGGCCAGGGAGAAGCCGAGAGGCGGGGAGGCCGCTGCAGGAGGGCCAAGCGGGGGCTGCACCCTAACTGCTCTAGCAAGGGGAGCTATGGTTCTGGAGGGAGACTCCGTGACACCCCTACTCTTTAGTCCTTCCCTCCATTCACAGGGACTCGAAAACCCCAACTGTGGTAAAATATGCATCACATAGAACGGGACCGTTCTGTGTGGCGTCAAGTATCTTCACGTTGCTGTCGCGCCGGCTTCCCGCGTCTTTCCAAGCTGCACGGCCTCGCGAGGAGCCGGCAATGAGGGGCGCTGGCGGGGCGGCCGGCGGAGGCCCTGGAGGGCGTCTGGCAGGCCCTCGAGAGGTACAGTGTGGGGTCCACGCGTGACCCCGGGGCCCATCCTGGGTGCGTACCCGAGGCGGCCGAAGCGTGCAGCCACACCAACATGCGCACGTGAGCGTGTTTCCAGAAGCCAAAGCGTACAAACAGGCCCCAAACGGTCCAGGCGCTGAGATGTCTGTGAGCCGATGAGCGGATAAAGCGGAACGGAGTGTGTCCACACGATGGGAAATTGTTCTGCCATAAAAAAGAACGAAGCACGACGCGCAGGCTGGGACCCGGGCCGGACCCTGACGACACTGCCAAGCGGCGCAGCCACGCACACAGGGCCGACGCTGGACGGTCTCGGTTACACGCGGTGTGCAGCGAGCCGCGTCCACTGTGCTCCCAAGTACACGGGCGGCCGCCGGGACCCTGGCGGGGACACAACGGGGCGGGCCTGCTAACGGGCGTCGCGTTTCTTCTGGAGGTGTCGAGAAAGTTCTGGAATCAAACAGTGGCGACGGCTGCACGACGTTGGCTGTTTACTAAACGCCTGCGAATCGTACGCTTGGAAAGAATGAAGCTTATGGTTCTGTGAATCATACCCCGATTTCCTAGAAAGGCAAGAAAACGCCCGTCGCGAAGCATAGCGCACACACGGTGATCCGCAGCCCTGGGCGAGGAAGGCCTGGACTCCTGAAGGCATGACAGCTGACGGGTCCTCCCGACACTCTCGACACACAGAGACGGACACACTCGGACGGGCTCGTGGCCGCAGAGCCCGAGCCCGCCGCAGCGCCCCACGCGGGACGGTGAGCACACGCCAGCAAAGGTACCCGTGTCACCTCTATTGCCAGAAAAAACATGCTCCCGCCTCGCTCCCCAGCGTGTCGAGCCAATAACCGAGTGTCCTGCTCCTCAAACAAATATACGTCTGGCACATTGCTCGTCTCTCGGGGGGCGCCGCTGTATCACGGATCCAAACGACCCTCGTAACGCCCGCAGTTGGCCTCCTTGAGGATCTTTCTTTCTTTTTAGGTTTGTGAGACTCCTATACTTTGTTCTCTCTCTCTCTCTTTTTTTTTTTATTAATTTTTGTATTTTTTATTTTTTAAAGATTTTACTTATTTATTCATGAGACACACAGAGAGGGGCAGAGACCCAGGCAGAGGGAGAAGCAGGCTCCACGCAGGAACCGACTGGGACTCGATCCTGCGACCCCAGGATCACGCCCTGGGCCGAAGGCGGGCACCAAACCGCGGAGCCACCCGGGCGCCCCCCCCCCTCTTTTTTTAAAATCGGAGTTCAATTTGCCAACATCTAGCATAACGCCCGGTGCTCATCCCGTCCACTGCCCCTTTTCGCCGCGCTAACCTCCCTGATGGAGACGGATTGTCCCCATGCATTGTATGTCATATTTTCATAAATAAAACGTTCCTTTGGAAGCTAAACGTCACACTTCAGCCAGAATCGACTAAATAACGCTGCTTGGTGACGCTCGACCCCAAGCCCCAAGCCCCCGCCCCGCCATCGCCACGCAGCTTGTGCGCCGGGGCCCGTGTCGCTCACAAAGGCTTCTGCTCCAGGTGACACCCGCGGGCCGCCCGGAAGGCAGATCGTGGTGGACGATGAGCGATTTGCAGACGTGCAGGTAAGTCCTCGACGTGCGACTGCCGTGGTGCGACGGGCCCAACGGGGATCTAGACCTAAAATAGCCCTACTTGTTTCTCTGTGCAGTCCTTCCAGGGTTTGAGGCTGTTTCTCTAGTTTTGCTCGTAAAGCGGCCTCATTTTCCCAAACCTTCCGTCGTCCTTGGGTGGCAGGCTTGGTGGTCTAAGGGGGGTCGGAAGGGCCTTTCTCAGGAGAAGCCCCAGCGGGGACTGGCGCTGTGCTCCTGGGCTCCCCGCCTTCCCGGCTCGCCCCTGCCCTGGGGTTTCTGGATCCGTCCGGGCGCTGCGGGCTCTCAGGGTGGGTCACACACAGCGGAGGGCTCCCCGGCAGCAGCCGCTCCAGGAGGAGGCCGATGAGGCCGCGTCCGTCTCCGCAATCTCTGTCCCTGTCACGTCGGCAGCTCCTCTTCCTGTCCCGAGCTTCTCTCGAGCGTCACGGGGACACTGGGGCTGCTTCTGCTCCCCGCTAGACACGGTCTGTCGCGACGTCCTGTCTTTGCGCTTCATCTGGGGTCCACATATTTGGTTGGAGTCGCCCGGCTCTATCCTAGAGGCGCGTTCCCCTCGGCGCCGGTCACGCCGGGTCCCACTGCAGACCTTGGCCCTGAGCTCACCGGGTCGCTCTGCGTGTGTTTGCGTTTCAGCGTCTGGGCCTATTTTTAACTCCTCAAAGGAGCACTGCCAAGAGCCCTGGCTCAGCGCTGCCGAGGCCGGTCAGCCCCCGGGGAGGCCAGGGCAGCCGCCACGGGGGAGCGCGAAGCAGCCGCGTCCGGAGCCCTTGGCCCACATTCCTCGGCTGAGGCTGGTCTACAAGCTAATCACACGGTTGCTCCGATTTCCAGTGCGCCAGAGCAGCTTATCGTTTAGAGAAGCTCAGCAAGGAATTCTTTGTAAAGTAATGAGCTTTGCAAATGAGTTTGGCTTCGGAAAAGCAAAATCTAGAACCATCCTTTAACTTTTCGCCAAGCTGTATTAGTGCCTACTGGGTTCTCTCTCTCTCTCTTTTTTTTTTAATAATAAATTAATTTTTATTGGTGTTCAATTTGCCAACATACAGAATAACTCCCAGTGCTCATCCCGTCAAGTGTCCCCCTCCGTGCCCGTCACCCATTCACCCCCACACCCCCGCCCTCCTCCCCTTCCACCACCCCTAGTTCGTTTCCCAGAGTTAGGGGTCTCTCATGTTCTGTCTCGGTTTCTGATATTTCCTGCCCATTTCTTCCCCTTCCCCTCTATTCCCTTTCACTATATTTATATTCCCTCCTGGCTTCTCTTAAAGAGACGCTCACCTCTGTTCAGAGAGAGCGAGAACCCTCAGCTCAGAGACTAAAGTCTTGAATTATCTTACCTCTTGGTTTGCCTTCTCATCAGAATTATAAACTATTTACACTATTTGCCTCCTTGGTTTTGGAAAAGTGACCGTTGGTGACCCTCTTAGGATGTGATAGGATTCGGGGTTCATGCCTCCGAGGCCCCTGCATGGTTCGTCTTTCCCGGGGGCTCCAGCCTGGCCCGGTGAAGACAGACGATCTTCCCCACGAGGAGGCTCCAGGAAATTCCAGAAGGAATCGTGTTCTGCCTACGTCATGAGCTAGCGAGTCCGGGGAGACTCTCACCTGGTCCCCGTCTCTGGGGTAAGTCCCTCTTGGCCTAACCTGTAGGGCTACGTTGGTTGGACAGGTTGGCCCAGTGCCTCAGGACGGACCCCAGGACCAGACCACCTGGCTCCTCCCGTCTACCCCGTAAGGACGATGCAGCCGCTCACCTGGGCAGGAACACGTCCATTCTGGCTCTCGTGAGGCTGGACATCCAGGTGTGCAGGACGCTGGCTGTGAGGTGGGGCTCGATGTGGCTCAGCGGGGTGTCCTTGTCGCGCGGCCGCACCACAAGCAGACTCGCGGTACTTCCCAGGTAGGGCAGCTCCAGCACCTGCACCTGATGGCCCGCGGGGCCCTGGAACTGGCCTGGGGGTCCGCAGAGGGGGAGTCAGTTCCGTCCCGGGAGCTGGGGAACCGAACTGCACCAGGTCCTGGAGGGGCCGTCTCCCGGGACACTTTATTGACAGGGTGTGTCCCACCCGCGGGAGGCCCTTTGAGGCCAAAGTTACCTTTTCTGATGGCAAGACCTCGAATTTCTAAGACGGCCTCCCGGGGCTTGGGTCTCGGGGCTGCAGTGCTGGGCCGCGCCCCGGGGCCCTACGGTCCTACAGGGGACGCCTTCCAATCCTGGCCTTCTGTGGCCGCGTGGGGGACCAGGCTCCTTGTGCTAGACCTTTCTTTCAACAAAAGCTCTAAACCCACGGATCATATAAAACTGGGAAATTTAGTACCGGGGACAGATGGAGCAGCGGGGGTCAGGGCGGCAGCAGGGGAGACGCGGGGAACAGGAGCCTAAGTCACATGTGTGTTTGCTTATCCGCGGGCCTTCCTCTCCCGCACCTCGCCTCCCCCCGGGGGTACGTGCTTGTCGGATAAGCAAAGACCTAAATTCACCGACCGGGCAACGTTTGGGACGGGCATCAGGGCAGGAGGGCAGCCGTGTTCTCAAGGCCGGGGTCCCTGAAACCCCGTCTGCGGGGCTCCCCCGAGGGAGCAGTCAGCCTGCAGCTGGAGGGGTGGAGCCCCGGGGGAGCCCAGGGGTGCAGGGGGTGCAGGGGGGGCAGGCCCATGGGGGCCCTCTCAGGAGCCGTCCAGCCGGGGGTGGGCCTCCCCCTGGCACCCCTCGGGCCGGGCGCTCAGCCTGCAGCCTGTCCCCGGGCGCAGGGACCCTGGGGCGCCACCGCCGCTCCCCTGCACCTCCCGGGGGTGCCCTGCACTCCCCACCCCCGCCTGCCTGCAGCTGAGCCCAGCCCGCTCGCCGCGCCCCTGCGGGAGGAGCTCACCGTAGTTGACCTCGGCCGTCTGGTGCATCGTGGGCACCTGCAGCGCCAGGCCCCGCGCGCCTGCGAAGGGCAGCGGCTGGGTGTCGGCGGGAGCGAACCCGCGGCGCCAGGCGCTCCGGAAGGACATGGTGCTCAGCAGCGCCAGCCGCGCCCACGCCGCCTCGGCCCGCCCCGACTCGGGGCCTGCGGGGCCGCCACCTGCGGGGACAGTCCAGCTACCAATTGCGTCCACTGCCTGGGCTCTGAGGTGCGGCCGCGTCCCCTCCCGCCCGCCCCAGTCTCCCCCCTGCAGGCCGCCCGTCCTGGCTCGGCCTGGGCCCCCAGCACCATCGTGTCCCCTCCCGCCCGCCCCGGCCTCACCCCTGCAGGCCGCCCGTCCTGGCTCGGCCTGGGCCCCTGGCACTGCTGCGTCCCCTCCTATCCGCTCCAGCCTCACCCCTGCCTGCTGCCCGGCCTGGCTCGGCCTGGCCCTCGGCATCGCCGCGTCCCCTCCCGCCCTCCGCCTGGCCTCACCCCTGCCCCCCCCCCCCCCCCGCTGCTCACCTGAGCTCGTGGGTGGGCCGCGGGGCTCCCGGGGCGGCGCTGGCTGCAGGCTGCTGTTGGCCCAGCGCGACACGCGCTCCACGAAGCAGGGCGACATGGCCACGCCCGGATGCACGAACACGGTGCAGGCCAACTCCACCCGCGGGCCGCGGCCAGGGCTGCGCAGGGCGGCGTAGGCGCTGCGGATGGACGCGCTCACCTGCGGGGCTGCAGGCGCGGGACACGTCAGGCTGGGCGCTGGGGTCACTGTCCCCATCACCCTTCCCGTCACCCCTCCCCGCCACCCTCCCCGCCACCCTCCCCGTCACCCAGTATTACCCATCCCCATCACCCCCATCACGCGTCCCCCATCACCCCCCCCACTCCTCCAAGGCCTCACACAGGGGGGCCTCCCCCCGCCCCCCGCCAGGAATCGGCCTGGGCCCAGGGACTCAAAGCTGGGGCAAGGCCACGCAGGACCTGAAGCCATCAGGCCCCGAGAGGGCCGCACAGAATCACGGGTCCTCCTGGCAGCTGGTCCTCCACCTCCGGGGCACAGCCAGTCAGGGCTGAGTGACCGAGGCAGCCGCGCCATCGGGCGTCACCACCCCCGGTGCTCGGCTCAGCGACCTCCCCGCACAGCAGGTCAGCGGCCTGGGCACGTCCAGGGCGGAGTCTCCCAAGCTCGGCTGCTGGGTGACAGCCACAGGGAGCCTACGAGGCCGCCAGCACCACAGCCCACACCCCACGGGCCTGCTGCTACCCCACAAGAACCGCCGGAAGGTGGAGGAACCAAGCCTGGGGCGCAGGGGAGCCCGGCCACAGGGACACAGCATGAGCCTCACACCCGGGGCCTCACACCCGGGGCCTCACACCTGGGGCCCGACACCGGGGCGGCCAGCAGCAGCGCCTTTAACCCCGTGACGTGGCGTCGCCCCTATGATTGTGCTGCCACATACAGACCAAGGGGCTGCCCCCGGACAGACCTACAGATGGCTAAGGTGGCTCAGGGTCACGGGGCTGGGGAAGGGTGGCCGGGGACACAGGCCCCACCCGGGCTGCTACATCTGTGAAGGCCTGAGCGCAGCACCCCTCCCTGCGGCCTTTGGGGGCTCCCGCCTCCTACTGATGGGCGGGGGGGATGTGAGCATGGCCGGCGCTCGCCTGCAGCCTCCGGAGGAGTCCTGTCCCTCCCTCCCCAGAGAGAGGGTCCTGTCCCTCCTTCCCCCCCAAGCTCCTTCTTGCCGGAGGGGGGCTGGGATCCTACAGATGACGCCGACCAAGAAGGCAGGAGGCAGGAGGCGGGCAAGCTCTGCGCCTGCAGGGGTCGGGACCGGGAGGGCAGACGCGGGGAGGGGGTGAGGGTTGGAGAGGGTCTGTGGCCACAGAGCGGGAGGAAAGCACTAGAAGAAGCAGGGTATTTTGTCCTCGTTTCTGGTGCCCACGTGAGCCCTTGCACTCACCGGGGAGCCCGCGAGCCCCTTCCTTTAGGCCCCATGTGCCGCCCTGCGCTTCCCGACGGGGACTTCCTTCGGCTAACTAACAACTAACTAACAACTAACTAACAACTAACTAACTAACTAACTGAGGCCTGTAACCCGAGCCTGGGAGCTCTGCGACTGGGGTTTACCTGCCAGAGGAGGGAGGTGGGCGGAGGTGGCGTCGAGGACGTGCCTTGGTGAGGGGAAAGGGGCTGCGGTTAGAGGCAGAAAAGGAAGGTCCTCTGACCTCATGCACCCGCTCAGGGGCGGCCCGGGGCCAAGGATTGTGGGGGGACTTGGGACTGGGGACCGAGAGCCTGGACTTGAGTTCTGCTCTGCGCCTGCCGGTCTGCCTCTTGTCCCGTGTAACCCGGGGACGAGGATGTGCGCGGTTTCCATGAGGACCAAGTGACGTAATGACGGCGGGGGTGACAGCGGCCGTGGCCAGCCAGGGCTCCCCCAAGGCCACCTCCTCTCGGAGGCTCCCCTCCTGGCCCCGGCCCCGTGCATCTGGCGCCGCTACGAGCCTCCTTCGACAGTTTGCCCGGGAAAGCCCCCGACGTCCCCAGGACCTGCGGGGCCCTGCGGTGGGGACGGCGCTCCTTCCGGGCGGCTGGGCCTGTCCGGAGCCGTAGGTGCGACCCCAGGCCCGAGACCACAGGAGGCCGCCGAGGTGCCGCCCGCCACCATGGCCGGGGTCAGTGCAGAGGCTGCCGGCGCCAAGCTTGCCGAGCCGGGCCCTGAAGGCCGAGCCCAGCTGCCGGCGCTGGTCTGTGGGCCCCACGTCGGCGGGAGCCTCTGTCAAGGCCGAAAGGCGCGCGTCTCTCTGGCACAGTGCACTGTCCCCGGCAGCTCCGAGGGCTCCCCTTGGGCCGCGGGCACCGGGCTCCCCTGCCCCGAGCTCACCTCTTGCAACCTGCCCACCTGGCGGCGGCGCCTCTACGAGCTCGGCCCGGGCGTGCGGCCCTGCAGCCGTCGGGGACAGGAGCCCAGGGGTGCGGGCCCCTGGCGGGGGTGGCACGGCTGTGAGGCTGGAGTGGGAGCGCTGCTGGGTCAGGGCCGGCCCGGAGGGGAAGGGGCGACGCGGCGCCCTGGGCCTGGTGCCTCGGGGTGGCCGTCGCGTGGCCCTGCAGGGCCCAGCCCCAGGGAAGCGCTCACGGCCGCCGTGCGCTCTAGGAGCCTTAGCTCAGGCAGTCGCCACCCCCATCCCTTGTTGAGGGGAAGAGAGCCCCACGCGTGCCTGAGCGTGTCAGCGGGAGCCGCCGGGCTCGGGCCGGGCACCCAGGCGCCCAGCCGCGGGGCGGCCTCTTACCGTGGAGCGAGTAGCCCAGCGCCTGCACCAGCTGCCGCGCAGTGTCCCCCTGGGCCGCGAACTGCAGGATCTCCAGAGCCAGGGACACGCCGGCCGGGGAAATGACCACGTTGGTTCCATTGCCGGGCGCCGCCGCCGCGTCCCGGTAGAGGCGGAGCGCAAGCTGGGTCCTCAGCAGGCCCAGGTCCTCGCGGAGGCCGCCCCGCGCCCCGGGGAGGCAGGAGGGAAGCAGGAGGAGCGCGAGCAGGGCGGGCCGCATGGCGGGGGCTTCCTGCAGCGAGGGGGAGCAGGTGCGGGTGAGGCCGCCGGCGCCCGCGGGGAAGGCCCGCAGCTGTCCCCCGCCCCACGCGCCCTGAAGCCCAGCTGGGAGCTGCAGGGATCTCGGGCCACTTTGCCGCTCACCGAATGTATGACCTCGGCCGAGGCCCCGGTCTGGTCACCAGTGAACCATTAGGTCGGGAAACAAGAGTAGGAAGGACACCCCCCCCCCCATGGCTTTCGGTGTGTCTCGGGCCTGGAGCCGGGCGTGTGTCTCGGAGCAATGACGGGCGATAGGAACGGATCGCGCGGCCCTGCCAAGCCTCTCCCCGGTTAACCAGCAAACAGTCTCGCAAGGGAGCCGTCGTGGTGTCTCCAGCACAGGGAAGACGAGGCTTGGGGCACGCAGGGGACCCTTTAGAAAATACACGAGGGAGCGTCCATCAGCCGACGGGGGGGACAGAGAAGGGGGGTACACCTCCAGCGGGACGTCCCGGAGCCCTGCAGAGGGTGAGATGTGGCCGTGGGCAGCAGCGCGGATGGCGCTGGAGAGCGCAGTGGGAGCCGCGGAAGTCAGGGACACTAACAGCACACGGCTTCCCCCGAGCGTGGAATTTAAGAAAAAATACATGAGCAAAGGGGGGGAAAGAGAGAGAGAAAGATCAGGAAATAGACTCGACTCTGGAGAAGGAACTGCTGGCGAGCAGAGGGGAAGGGAATTGGGGATGGGTTATGGGACCAGAGGGGAGGGGAATTGGGGGTGGGTTATGGGGCCAGAGGGGAGGGGAATTGGGGGTGGGTTATGGGACCAGAGGGGAGGAGAATTGGGGATGGGTTATGGGACCAGAGGGGAGGAGAATTGGGGACGGGTTATGGGACCAGAGGGGAAGGGAATTGGGGATGGGTTATGGGACCAGAGGGGAAGGGAATTGGGGATGGGTTATGGGACCAGAGGGGAGGGGAATTGGGGATGGGTTATGGGACCAGAGGGGAGGGGAATTGGGGGTGGGTTATGGGACCAGAGGGGAGGAGAATTGGGGATGGGTTATGGGACCAGAGGGGAAGGGAATTGGGGACGGGTTATGGGACCAGAGGGGAAGGGAATTGGGGATGGGTTATGGGACCAGAGGGGAAGGGAATTGGGGATGGGTTATGGGACCAGAGGGGAAGGGAATTGGGGATGGGTTATGGGACCAGAGGGAGGGGAATTGGGGATGGGTTATGGGACCAGAGGGGAGGGGAATTGGGGTGGGTTATGGGGCCAGAGGGGAGGGGAATTGGGGATGGGTTATGGGGCCAGAGGGGAGGGAATTGGGGATGGGTTATGGGACCAGAGGGGAAGGGAATTGGGAATGGGTTATGGGAGCAGAGGGGAAAGGGAATTGGGGATGGGTTACGGGACCAGAGGGGAGGGGAATTGGGGGTGGGTTATGGGACCAGAGGGGAAGGGAATTGGGGATGGGTTATGGGACCAGAGGGGAGGAGAATTGGGGGTGGGTTATGGGACCAGAGGGGAAGGGAATTGGGGGTGGGTTATGGGACCAGAGGGGAGGGGAATTGGGGATGGGTTATGGGACCAGAGGGGAAGGGAATTGGGATGGGTTATGGGACCAGAGGGGAAGGGAATTGGGATGGGTTATGGGCCAGAGGGAAGGGAATTGGGGTGGGTTATGGGACCAGAGGGGAAGGGAATTGGGGATGGGTTATGGGGCCAGAGGGGAGGGGAAATTGGGGATGGGTTATGGGACCAGAGGGGAGGGGAATTGGGGGTGGGTTATGGGCCAGAGGGGAGGGAATTGGGGATGTGTTATGGGGCCAGAGGGGAGGGGAATTGGGGATGGGTTATGGGACCAGAGGGGAAGGGAATTGGGGATGGGTTATGGGACCAGAGGGGAAGGGAATTGGGAATGGGTTAAGGGACCAGAGGGGAAGGGAATTGGGGTGGGTTATGGGAGCAGAGGGGAAAGGGAATTGGGGATGGGTTATAGGACCAGAGGGGAGGGGAATTGGGGATGGGTTATGGGACCAGAGGGAAGGGAATTGGGGATGGGTTATGGGACCAGAGGGGAAGGGAATTGGGGGGGTTATGGGACCAGAGGGGAGGGGAATTGGGATGGGTTATGGGACCAGAGGGGAGGGGAATTGGGGGTGGGTTATGGGACCAGAGGGGAAGGGAATTGGGGATGGGTTATGGGACCAGAGGGAAGGGAATCGGGGGTGGGTTATGGGACCAGAGGGGAGGGGAATTGGGATGGGTTATGGGACCAGAGGGGAAGGGAATTGGGGGTGGGTTATGGGACCAGAGGGGAAGGGAATTGGGGGTGGGTTATGGGACCAGAGGGGAGGGGAATTGGGGATGGGTTATGAGACCAGAGGGGAGGGGAATTGGGGATGGGTTATGGGACCAGAGGGGACGGGTTACGGGGGGTGCTTGTGATGAGCAGCGGGCGGGTGCAGGTGCTGAGCCTCCGTGTGCACAGGTACACGACCACATGTGGTCATGAGCAAGCCCTGGTCTCCCACAGGTGCTGCGTAAAACCTGGAGGACATAAGTGCACCTGACAATCTTGGTACAGGAGCTGATGGCACCTGGAGCGTGGGGGTCCCTGACGGCCCGTCCTCGGAGGGAACACACGTTTCCAGGCAGGGGTACAGCGGAGCTGCCCCTCCAGGGAACAGAGCATCAATGGGAGGGGAGGTCGGTGCAAAGCAAGGGAGGCCCCAGCCCCGGTGCCCACGCTGCGCCTCCCACAGTCGTCTCACTGGCGTCCCACGGCAGCGGCGTCGGGGCCCGTCCCCTGTGACACCCCACGAGGAGCTGGGCCCTCAGGGGACAAGCCTGCTCCCCGCAGGAGGGCCTGGTGTGGGGCGCGGCGGCTGGGCACGAGGACGCAGCGGTCCCCGGGGCCCTCTGCCAGGTGGCCGAGCCCCGGCGTCCTCGCGGCTCCTCTGGCCTCCCGCCGGGACACTCAGCAGCCCGTGTCCTGTGCCCGTCCCCGGCCGGTGCCCGCCTGGCCGGCCGCGACGGCTGCTTACCGAGGGCTGCTCGCCCGGCCTCCCGCGGGCCCCGGCTCCGTCCGTGCGTGTGCGCCTGCTGCATGGACGTGCTCCCCTTTTTAAAAAGTGGAGCAGAGCCCGCTCCGAATCACAAGACGGCCCGGGGAGGACGGCGGTGGTGGCCGTCTCCGCCGGCGACGTCTCTGCCACTCGGCCCAAATTCCTGGAGGCCGAGGCCCCGCGGGAGCCAGGGGACGGATCGGGCTCGGCGGCCCGGGGAGGGCCGGCCACACCCGCCGCCTCCTCAGGCTTGTGACCCGGTTGTGGCAGCGAGGAGCCCCCGCGGCCGGTGCGCCCGCAGGAATTCCAGGGCTGCGGCCGTCCGGCCTGTGCTGGGCACCGCCGAGGCCTCTCCCCTCCTCCCACGGAGAACAATAGGTCAGTCATGGGCCTGGGCCTCGCAGCCCACGGGACTCGGAGGAGAGGGACGGCCCGAGACGGGGCGCCACGAGGCTGAGACGCGGGGACCCACGGGGCGGGCTCACGGCCACCAGGCCCACGGTCCCGCAGGCAGGAACCCGCTGGTGTGAGCCCACGGGGACCCCGCTGGTGCGACGAAGTGCTCGCTGGGGAAGTAGAGGCACGTTCCGTGGAGTCTGCCCTGCGACCGGCGCACGGGGCCACACGTTCCCATCAGGGTCTCAGACTTAACGTACAAGAGGCGACAGGCTGTGAAGTGCCCCCCGGTGAGGTCAGGGGAGGAAGGGCGCCCTCGGCTGTCCCCCCGGGCGGTCAGCGCTCCCCCTGGAACCCCGGGGCTCCACCCGCGGCTCACCCCCGTCGGGGCCGATGGATTTTTCAGCCTTTGTTTATTTTCATGGGCAATTCACTTGGAATTTTTTTTTTTAAGATCTTTTCTTTCCTTCTTAAAGAGGGAGAGCGCGGGGTGGGCAGGGGCAGAGGAAGAGCAAGCGAGCAGGTCCCACGGCAGCAGCACACCCTGCGCGGGGACCGACTGGCCCGTGTCCCCGCCGTGCCATCAGGACGTAGGCAACCCCCGCCCCCCGGGTGCACAAGTCCCCGAGGGTCATCCTGCCGCTCCAGCCCGCGGTGCTGTTGGGTCCTGGGGCAGTCGCAGGCCTGGAATGGCTCATGGAGTCCCCAAACCTAGAGGGTGCGTGAAGGCACAGTGGGCGTGTCGTGCCCTCGAGACCGGAGCACGTGTCACAGCACAGGGGCCGGGCGGCAGCCTCCCCCCTTCCCGCCCGCCCGCCCTGCTTCCTGCCTGCCTGCCCCTGCCTTCCCTTCCCTTCCCTTCCCTTCTTCCTTCCTTCCTTCCTTCCTCCCTTCCTCCCTTCCTCCTTCCTTCCTTCCTTCCTCCCTCCTTCCTTCCTCCCCCCTTCCTTCCTTCCTTCCTTCCTTCCTTCCTTCCTTCCTTCCTCCCCCCTTCCTTCCTTCCTTCCTTCCTTCCTTCCTTCCTTCCTTCCTTCCTTCCTCCCTCCCTCCCTCCCTTCCTTCCTTCCTTCCTTCCTTCCTTCCTCCCTCCTTCCTTCCTCCCCCCTTCCTTCCTTCCTTCCTTCCTTCCTTCCTTCCTTCCTTCCTTCCTCTCATTCCCTCCTTTCTTCCTTCCTTCCTTCCTTTCCTCCCTCCCTCCCTTCCTCCTTCCCTCCCTCCTTCCTCCCTTCTTCCCTTTCTCCTTCCTTCCTTCCTTCCTTCCTTCCTTCCTTCCTTCCTCCCTCCCTCCCTCCCTCCCTCCCTCCCTCCCTTCCTTCCTTCCTCCCTCCCTCCCTCCCTTCCTTCCTTCCATTCTTTCATTCTTTCTTTTTAACCAAACTCTACCCCAACGTGGGGCTCTGGTGCAGGACCCAGAGCTGCGTGCTGTACCGACTGAGCCCCCAGGCGCCCCCCGAAGGGTTTCATCGCCCTAAAGCCTTGTGCGCTCTCCCACGCCCAACCCCTCAGCCACTGATCTTCCACGACCTCTACTGCGTGGCTTCTTCCAGA